TGGCATCCACTTAGTGGAAGAAAGGTATTGCACTGAGATTATCTCAACCGATTAGTGTTCTCAATACTCTGATTTTAGAGAAAGCTAAATCTTTACAGCGTCTAGAACTCATGCAGCTTTTGTGCCTCTTGATTCCTTCACCTAGCACAAAGATACAGATTTTCATGAGCGAAGTTAATTTTCGCTCGCACTAGTAAGCATCGAGTGTTTAAATGGCTCTCCAATTTAACTATTAAACTTAAAACTCAAATGAGAGCAATGAACAACTATTGGTCAGCGTCCAGTAAGCATCCATCATATGCTTTGGAATTTTACTGACCGGTACAAAATGAATTTCTTTGGGAAGTTCTTGTTAGGAATGAAACCAGAGCGGTCTCCTGGGGGCACCGAGCCTGGGGAGGGAGAGGGAGAAGGGGCAAGTGCGGAAGAAAGTTCTTTATAGTTTTAACACTGCTACCTTTGCCAGGCAAAACGCCCATCGCCCTTTCCCCCTTCCCATCCTCTTCCCCCTGGACCTGCTTATGCCTGCTGCCACCGCATCGTATTGTTGTGAAGTGATAAATTGGGCTAGCAGTGAGAAACTTTTTTTTTCAGGACCAAGTGGTGTACGGCCAGCTGTTGTAAAGCACTATGAAAGGCGAGGAGGTCCCTCAGCAGCCAACACACAGCAACTGCAGTGGAAAATACCTCAGTTAAATCGCCAAGCTCCTCTCCCACCGCAGCATGCAACTGCCATACAATCAAATCGCATTTATCCTAGAAATGGCGATCTGAATGTTAATAGGAACGACAGGGTTACAAGTGGGCAGGTCATCAATGATTCCAATTCGTTCTTAAGTTTTTATGGTGACCAATTCTGATCGTTATGTTTCATTGCTAAATAGCGTTTTTGCGCAGTAATTCTAAGACGCAAAGCGTCAGTAAAAGTTTACAAGACATCATTCTTTTTACGTTTTTGCTCCTCATTTCTTTGTTCCCAGTCTGGTTTCAAGAAACTGAATCACAGCACACCTTATATATAGCAAGTTGGGTAATAATTTCCACTTCTGCCCACAATTATGCCTCTGTCTTTGCCTAAGTGTTACGTCCAAATGACGAAACACAGAATACCCTTGATCTGTTGATAGCCCATTTTATCCAGTATCTGCGTTTTGTTATACTCTTATATTCATTTCCATTCTTGGCTTAGACTGATTACCCGCTAAACATAATGGATTGCGTGACGAGTCTTTCGCTGTAAGTTCGGAACTGAGATAAAAATATCTACAAGGTCATTTTCAGAACGGAACAAGGCCCGAAAGACCTGCAAAGCCAAAACCACCTTTGAAACCGAAACCTGTTCCAACTGTAGAGGCGCTCTATCCATATGAAGCCCAGGACACAGACGAATTATCGTTTTCTGTTGGTGACAAGTTTGAACTAATCAAAAAGGGTTAGTTTTTCTGCATTGTTTCATTATCCGGAACAGCGGCCAATTCATAGTCAGGTTCTCGTTTTATGCAACTGGCAACTTCTCCGTTTGCTTTGAGAAGTGCTGTTTCGCATATACAGCTTTTTATGCGTTTTTTGCAGCTATGCAATGCAGAAAACGCATACTGGCGAGGGGTTGTCTGTGTATTCGTGTGTCTATGTGTGCGTCTGTACCGATTTTTCATCTCAAGACCTACAAAAGCTACAGGAATGAAACTTTGGGAACTTAATCTATATGCACGTACGGGCCTCAATCCCCACAATGGGC